CCCCCCCACCTGCTCTCCCCCGGGCATCCCGCAACAAAAGCCTGGTCTGCTGGGGGGGGGGTGCACTAGCTGCGCCCCCTCCCCCCCCCAGCAGACCAGGGAGACGCGGAGCACTTCTTAGGTGCTAAGGATTTATATCTTTTTTAAAAAAACAGTGAAAGAAGATAAAGATACAGAAAATACATTAATGGCTATATAAACTTAAAGTATAAAAAAATCTTTAAATACATTATATATTTTGTAAAGTGTATGCAAGTTACACTTAGTTGAAGCTAATAAGATTATATACAGCAGACCAGGGAGACGCGGAGCACTTCTTAGGTGCTAAGGATTTATATCTTTTTTAAAAAAACAGTGAAAGAAGATAAAGATACAGAAAATACATTAATGGCTATATAAACTTAAAGTATAAAAAAATCTTTAAATACATTATATATTTTGTAAAGTGTATGCAAGTTACACTTAGTTGAAGCTAATAAGATTATATATTTATGTATTAGTAGTGTCCTTAAAAGGCTTTATAGATAATAAATGTGTAATTTCCATTGACTACTCAATTAGTCGATAAGGGAGTTCATTGCGGCTGTGTTTTTTAAATATAGTAAGAGCTACCAGGCTGTTAATACATTTAAAAAGCAGAGCCGCAGTGTCTGGGACCCGGTGTGAGCCGGGACTGCTGAGTCCTAGCTTGTGCTGCTTCTCCTGCCCCACCACGGAGGCATTGCTGAGGGTAACCAGCTTTTAAGCTAGCTCCCCCAGCACCAGTTCCCGCTCTCCCCTCCCCCCGCCCACACTTACTGTCTCTGTTACAGAGGCAGCAAAGGGGAAGGGGAAGTGACTAGTTGAGTCGCTTACGTCCCTAGTTCAGGCAATAGCACAGGACAGGGCTGGGCAAAGTAGCTTTTAGAGGGCTCGCGGCCCCACTCCTGATTTATTGCCTGACAGCCACCCAGGGTTGCTGTGCTATTTAAAGAGTTCCCAGTTGTGGCACTACTCTGGCAGGGGATGGAGCCACAAGCCCTTTAAATAGCTGCAGCCACCCCAGGTGGCTGCCAGGCAATGCAGTAGCAGCAGGGCCAGGAGTTACAAGCTCTTTGCAGTGTTTTTAATTCAAAACATCAAGCCCCAGACAACTCTGGAAGGAGGCAAGCCCCCAGCTACGCCCCTTCCAGCCTGTGATCACATACCAAAATTCATTAAGTGGTCCCCTTGCCAAAATGATTGCCCATCCCCACCTTAGGACTTAGCAGACCCATGTTCAAGTCCTTTCTTTGCCACAGACTTACTTTGTGACCTTTGGCAAGTTGTTTAGCCTCTCTGGGTCCCATTCCCCACTGATAAAATGGGGATGATAATATTTCTTAAGGCTGTTGTGAGGATAAATACACTAAAAGATTGTGAAAATCTTTGAAGTCTACTGATGAAAAGCACTATAAGAGTTATATAAGTTGTATTTTATAGTTAAATATTGAAATAATAGTGCCATAATTGGGTCAGGAATCTGATGGATAATAAAGCAAGGAAATAATTATTCTACCTGTAGACTGATATGGACCTGATGCTGCATCAATTCAAGCTGACGGGCACTTTAATGCTGACTGTGCAGGAACAGGCCCTGTGTATTACTCTCTAATTCACAGAGATGACTCGTTTTTCTTAACATAAATGTCATTTATGAAAAAGTTGGGTGCGTAAGGGGTATAGCCCAAAATACTTGAAAACTCAGTGGGAGTTTTGGTGTGTGAGGCTTTGTTGACCCCTCTATGCGCAGCAAGAATTTTAATATGTTTTGAGGTTTTCTCAGTAAGAGATCTTTTAAAATATTTTGGCGTTGCGGGAAATGACTTGTCAACAGAGACTCTGAAAGCGGTCACATTTGTTAGGCATTTGTTATGGGAATTTAAAGGAGCGAGCCAAGTCTTCTCTTTTCATTTCTTAATTATTTTTTGTAACTCGTCATTGTCTTTTATATTTGCAGGCAACTTCAGCAACAGCAAGCTGAGCTTGAAGTACATCAGAGAGATGGGTTGTCATCCTATGACTTATCTCAGGTAATATCTCTGAACGGGTTTTTTTTTTTAAATACCCGTGTCTCTGATCTTTTAAATGTAAAGTGATTGAGGATCTAAACAAATCAAAAACAGAGACTATATTTGAGCTCTTTCGTATTAAATATGGGAGCAGAATTACATTCTTTTTTGCATACATCAACAACAGGTACCTGTTCCAAATATACCAGCTAATGTTCATGAGGGTGGAAAGCCAGTGGAAAAACCAGACACTATCTTCTCCCAGGAGAGAGATCCTAGGTTTGCTGAGATGTTTGCAGGAATAACTGCTTGTAAGTGAGAGCCTCTGTATTTAATTTTTAATATTACTGATGTAAGCTGTATTCTTGACCTTAAGTACCATTACATAGCATGTAATTGCCTTCGTTTTCAGTTTAAACTGATGTTCCTGAAAATTTGCCAGGTTTTACAAAAAGTATCGTTCTTTTTTTTTCTGATTTTCACCCTACTTTTGCATCATTCAATTTTATTAAAACTTGTTTTATTGGGAAAATACAATAAATTGCATGAGATGTCTGTAATAAGACCAGCAGTCTCAAACTCACGGCCCGTAGGCCATTCCTGGCCAGTGCAGTTGCATAATCCAGTCTGAGGTGAGGGTTCTGTTCATTCCTTTCCCCCGAATGAAATGGCCTCCAGAATTATTGCGTGTCCTGGCGTGGCAGTAGTGGTCGGGATCCTTGCAGCCGCAGGAAAGGGGCAGGACATGGGGGACAGGAACGGACAGCCCTTTCCCCGCACCACCACCCTTGGCCCTCCAGGACTCCCAGGCCAGATTGTGCAACTGTTCTGGCTGTGGGCCGAGAGTTTGAAACCTTTAATAAAGACAATGGATTAGTCTGTGTGTATGTATAAAGCTGCCTCTTGAAATAAGGCTATGTATTAGTCTACAAGGTACAGTCAATAACAAGCAGGCATGCACACAAGCTCTGAGGAATGTGAGCATTGGAGCATACTGAAGAATCTCACACCTACCTAACACATTTTAAACTGTTAGCAGATAACGATTTAAGATTTAACATGCTTGACAAATTTTGAATAACTTTCAGAATACAGGGAAGTATTCAAAAGTTTTTTAAAAAACAAACAGAAGGAATAAACCATATGAAGAAAGATTAAAAAGATGGGACTTTTCGTCTTAGAAAAGAGGAGACTAAAGGGGGATATGATAAAGGTCTATAAAAGCATGACCTGTGTGGAGAAAGTGAATAAAGAAAAGTTATTTACTTATTCCCATAACTTAAGAATTAAGGGTCACCAAATGAAATCAATAGGTAGCAGGTTTAAAACAAACAAAGGAAAGTACTTCTTCACGCAACACGCAGTCAATCTATGGAACTCCTTGCCAGAGGATGTTGGGAATTCCAGGACTTTAACTAGGGTTTAAAAAAAATCATGGAGTCCATTAATGGCTATAGCCAGGACGTATAGGAATGGTGTCCCTAGTCTTTGTCAGAAGCTGGGAATGGGTGACAGGGGGGAGGAGGGGAGATCACTTATTACCTTTCCTGTTCATTCCCTCTGGGGGCACTTAGCCTTGGCCACTGTTGGAAGATGGGATACTGAGCTAGATGGACCTTTGGTCTGACCCAGTATGGCCATTCTTATGTTGTTAAAGGATAAAGTTGAGTGTCTGTGCTGCAAATGGTGTGGACAGAATATTAAATATAAATATTTATAGGCTTATAGTTCTAAGTCTACAACAGTAAACTCTTAGTTCAAATGAAAAAAACTCCCAAGTGGCATTGTGTTTGGAGTTCTGTTTTAGTTCTGCAGGAAGCCACACTGATGAACAGCATTCAAAGCTTTAATCTACTGAAAACATTTTCTCCCTGTCTTTCCAGTCACCAAAATAAGTTCTAGTATTTACCCCCAGCACTGATTTTCACCTGTTTCTGTTGTGGTGCTGATAAGCACTGATAAATTCACAGGGAAAATTAAATAAAATAAAAACTGAAAATGAAGGGCCCAAGTAATGTGAAGCTCTATTTTGAAAGGGAGGAAAAAAGGCATTGTGGCCGAGAAGCCACTAGGCAAGTGAGTCTCCAAGAATGATGCATCGAATTGGTTGGAAATAAATATTTCCCTTCAAAAATGAAGCTGAACAAAACTCAGGAAGTTAGAGAGCAGGTGGATATGTTGTCCACTTAGAAGCCACTCTCTGTTCTCACTGAGTGCCGGTCTACACGATGGGGACAAGTCCATCTAAACCAGCGGTCTCCAATCTTTTTAACCCCAAGATCACTTTTTCAATGTAAGTGCAATGTAAGACCTACCTCAAACCCAAATACCTTTGCCACGCTTCTGCTGGGCATGGTTCCCCATTACTGATCAATGGGAACTGCAGGAGCGGTGTCTGCAGGCAAGGACAGCATGTGGAGACCCCTGCTCTGCCCCTCTTGAGGGCTGCAGGGACATGCCAGCCACATCCAGGAGCAGCAGTTACCACAGGGATAACTACTCCAGCCAGGACAGGTTAAACATTTTAGAATTCACTACTCAAAGAATTAAATGTAAACGTAAGAGAGAAATGAAAATTATGAAATGCACAGACCAGTCAAAAACAACTCACTTTGCAAGCAGTAAAAGAAGTAACAACCCCCCATGTGTGTTGGGTCAGGAGATGAGAGTGAAGCTCAGTGAGTGTTTGTGAGAATGACAGACTCACACAGTGTGTGAGAGTGACAGAGATTTGCATTGCCAAGCTCCCTCCATCCCCTTCTCTCTGTGTGGAGAGAGGGTACAGGAGTGAGGGAGGAGGGACACCCTGACATCAACACTCTGCCGCTTCATCAACAGGAGGCTCCCAGCGGGGCTGCTCCAAGGCAGAGGGCAGGAGCAGCATGACAGTGGTTGGAGGAGCAACTGAAGTGCCAGCGCTTGATAGCTTCCTGGCCAAACCAGTCAGGGTCACCTGTGAGAGGCTCCAAGATCAGATCAACATAACTTAGCCCTATTTACTGCAGGGTCCACACATGCTGGGTTGACAGAAGAAACTCTCCCATCAACTCCCCTTTCTCAGCTTGTTCTGGTGGAGTAACGGAGTTGAAGGGAGAGTGATCAGTGATGGATTTAGTGAGTTGTCTATAGATTGTTAAATCAACCCAGTGGCTCTATCGCCACAGGATGGATTCACCCCTTAGTAGAGGCGTACCTTAGTAGCCACATCTTTTCCATGCAGTCATGAATAGTAGCTGTCCTTTTCTCAGAGGTACACTTGTGCAGTGCAATTCATAAAAAGAGGTTTAATAGATCTTCCAGTTTTAGAAGCTAGAAGTAGCTTTCTTTCTCATAAAGTGCATGTCAGTGTGGCTCATTGAGATGGTTTGCAATAGCAGTTCTATTAAGACTAAGATTGGCTTACAATTTTATATAAAAAAAATTCTATTTTGCATGTTTTTAGGGCTAATGTTTTTCCTTGTTTATTTTTTAGTAGTTTGCTGTTCGCCTTCCCCACTTCCCCGAGTGAAAACGTTTTATGTTTGTTTTAAATAAATCAGTCGGCTGAGCTATGTCAGCTGGTGTCTTGCAGCGAGGGAGGAAACGACCCATTGTGTTTAACTACAGGCGTATAAGGAGATGACCTCACTGCAGGGGTTTCTTTATGTACAGTTTGACCTTTTCAAACTGTGAGGGCATGTCATTTCAGTAGAGACTTGATATTCTGTCCCTGTGTGGCTGAGAGTTCTGCTATTCCTGTTCTTCCTTGTCAGTGAAGTCAGTGTCTGAGTCCATAAAGGGGGTCTTCTGGAAGGGAGCAAGACTCCAACTCTAAACATTGGAACAATGTTTTCCAAGCGAGAACAAGCTGCTTTATTGGCTAATGTTCAAACAGCTCTGAACTGTTTGTGTGGCTAGGTCAGGGTTGAGGGTCTAGCAAGCTGAGAAGGTGAGCTAAGGAGCTGTGTTCTTGGAAATGCCATTTCGCTTTTCATTTCTATCAATTTACAAGCTGTGCTCTTTTTTTCCTGTGCTCCATGTGAGAGTAGCTCATGGGAGTCATGATCAAGGACTCTTTTAACGATAAAAAAGGATGTTTGTCCGTTAGAAATGTGTTGAGTGTCCAAAAACAATATTGACAAACCTGCAGGCTGCTTGCAGACACTTGCATTGTATTGATACTAGAGCTCTTTATCCAGTTTGGCTTCTAGAAATAGCTTAGGACAGACAAACACGGAGTGGGGCAGATGCAGGGCAGCCATCAGCTACATGTTTTATTAAAATAAAAGACATCATGCTTTATCCATCCATGCCTTTTGAGCAGCAGCCATTTTGAGATAAAGTTCAATGCAGGGCCACTAGAGGTTGCTGGTGAGCTTTGAGGCAAGTTGGGCAATTTAGCTGCCCAGTGGAGAAGATGGGAGGGCAGTCACCAGAGCCGCTCACGTCCCTGCCTGCGCCTCCATCCTGCTCCCAGCCGGTTCCAGGCTCTCCGCAGTTTGGTCTCACTCTCCCCTGCCCTGAGTCATTTGTAGCATCCCAGCTCCCCCTGTGCTGACCTGCAGGCACGCTGCCCTACCAGTCCCAGCAACCACAGCAGACGGGGTGGGGAGAGGGCCCATTTCTGCTAGGAGAGGAACGGAAAGGAGGGAGAGGTTCCAGCCACTTTTGGCCTCACCGGTGATCAGGGAGAGATGAGGGATCCTGGCAGGACCCCTCAGACTCCTCTCCCTGGAAAGGATGGGACGAGGTGACCCTCTCCCGTTTCGATCCCACTATGACCAAGGAAGGCCTGCCTCCATCTCCCTCCCCATCTGTTGTATGCCTGGAGTCTGTGCCCTAAAGTGTTGTGTTCTAACTGCCCCTTGAAAACCTTGCAGGTGGGCTCTAAAAGGTACCTACTTTACTAGCATGGTCTATATGGCACAGGTAGAGCACAACGCAGTAGGGCATTCTCCTGGTACCGCCTGCCAAACCTCGACTGCACACATGCCACACAGACGGAGGAGAAAAATTCCCTGTAGCTAACTCCAAACTGAGGACATTCCTTCTCCCCTCTCCCTTCTTTATTTTGCGTCTGCACATTCTAAACTCAACACTCTGGTCATCTGAAGAAGTGGGCTGTGCCCACGAAAGCTCATGATGCCCTCTATCTGTTTGTTAATCTATAAAGTGCTACCAGACCATTTGTTGTTTTTAAAGTCTATTGCAAATCAATGTCAGGCTATTGTTATGCCTTAAGAGAAGAACAGGGAGGCAGAGAGGGAAAGGGCAAGAAACAGTGGGCTGGATCTTGAGGTGTGACTAAAGCAGATTAACACTCTCCCAATCC